TCGAAAGTAAAATTGGTCTCTACCTCAAACAGGCAGTCGGCAAGGATAAAGAAACTCGCGATAGTCGGTTCTCACCAAATTCTCATAATTAACTTTACTAATAATGATATGGCAAATTGTAAGAAGAATTAATAATTTAATCATGATTTCCGGCATGAGACTAGTAGCATAAAGTCAGTAAGCTTGCCCAGCCTTGCTTAGAGAGAGAGAAAAATTAACTTAGAATTGGATTACGTGATCTAGTGTGATAATTCAAGACCACCACGAAGTTATTCAACTCTTGATATTCGACTTCGGCCAAAAAATACCACGATAATAGTCATGCTTAAAATACCGTGTATTAAAACGAGCAACGAGCAAATATGTCAAAATTGCGGAATTTTATTGAGCTATTTATAAAGCAAACCTGCATTTTTAACCAGGGTATTTTATAGAAAAAACTTATGCAATTGAATGCGCCCTTTAAATTTGTTACTATTTATTACTGGAGTATTGATTTGGATCGAACTGAATATACAAATAAAATTTCAATAAACCAATACCTTGTAATCTAAATTTGTGATGATATTCATAAATGTTTCTCATTGTATTGTCTATCTCCTCACCAGCCACTATGCAGCCATGTAGCAAATTTAAAAAGTCACGAACATGTCAGATAATCATATCGCTACTGTTCAAAACAGTCAGTATACTTCTCTTCTTAAATGGTATTCTTTACTAATGCATGGCTCCTGACTAATGTGACTAAAAGAGGGTCAATGATTTTTCTGTTTGTCGGTCCCGCACGCGAAATATCAAGATCTCAAAACCTCTTGTCGATCGGTGTATAAATTATATCAAAGCTTGGTGTGTGCGTTCTTCTGTAATTCAGTTCCTAAAACCCAGAAATCTAACTGACCCAGTCATTTTTTAAAGTGTGAACTTTAGCGTTGTTTGCTGCCACATGTAGACGGGTTTGGTAGTTTTTCACGTGTGTCACTAATCATATGCATTGCCTTGATCAGTAGAATTAATTATAGCTATCCAGGAAACTGCTGGACTGAAAACTTTGAACTTTAAATACGTAAGAAACCAAAGAAGAGTTTAGTTCCTCATTCGTGCAAGTCTGCATTGTCTATTTA